ATTATGCCAACTTCAAGTAACAGGCGACAAGGCCCCGTGGACAGGAGAATTGCCTTTAATATTTTGTAATATTCTGTTTTGTTAATATACCCAAAATTGTGTATATATCTTATAACTGTTTTAGAAATTGGTACATAGGCTTCTATTACCTATTAGGTGGAGATTTTATATGTAAATGTGTTAGCACTGATAGTCCTTTTTCCAATGTTTTATTGGGGAATTAAATAGTGTGATGTTTGATTGATATCGTGTAATCCTCAGCCTGGAAATTGGGCTGGATTGTTTTTTGGTTTAAACATCTTTTCCTAAAGAAGATAAACCCATTCCAGGTAGCTTGGCACCAGCTAAGAAAAAAGCACAAAGTTCTCAGAACTCTTGAGGAAATGGTTGTCCCAGGATCCCCATGCAAGTCTCCATTCCCTCCCTACACTGTAAATATCCCTCTCTCTAGCTCACCTCCTTCAAACACACCTCCACATCCCAGCAGCCCCCTGGGGGGAGTAATGGGACCAGGGCGGTATCTCTGGCACCACACTAGGGATTATCAGGTAATAAAAGCTTTGACTCCCTGAGGAAATGTCTCTCCCTTTGTCTGGGGTGGGGCAACCAGACAGGGCTAGGCTGCTCCTGGCCCTTCTATATTGCTGCTGTCTCTCAGTTCCCCAGCTCTCCATTTCTATCATTCACAGCTCCTCCATCTCTGATGTGATCTCCAAGACCCTCCTTTCTTTCCCAGCACATCTTTTGTTTAGTGGTCTCAGCCAGCCTCATACCCTGGAGAAGATGGCAAAGGGTAGGGCCACCAGGAGAAGAGGAACTGGCTCAGCCTTAGACCTGAGGTTGGTCTCTGTCCTCTCCAGCTCTGCTGCTTTGCTTCAAAGCCATTTAGATTGTGTCACTATCCAGAAAAGTCTTTGTGTCCACATTGATTGTGTCAAATGGCTTCCACATCCTTTCATATATGTCCTAATTTCCAGGACTTTAATGTGGAAAAGTCTCAAATCCAGAAGCCAAGATGATGGGATTCTTAGATTTCAACTTGGTCTCAAATCTGATGTGTTTAACATGTCAAGTTTTGTATCTTAAATAATATAAATGTTTATGTATTCCTTATATAACAGTCTGCCCTACCCAGAGACCCAGTATCCTTCTACCTTCCAGATTCATGGTCCTCAAAATATAATTCTCATCCCTGTGGCAGGAGTTGAATCACTTCCACATCTGCATCTGAATCAGGCAAGGGGGGAAAAGTATGTAGTGTAAACACAAAACAATTTCATTTTTAGCAAAAGTTGTTGCTTTTTTTGTGGTGGCAGGTGGGGGCGGGCAACACTGGGAATCGAACCCAGTCAGTGATGCTCTACCACTGAGCTACATCTCCAACCCTTTTTATTTTTCGTTTTGAGGCAGGTTCTCACTGTCTTATTTGAGACACTAAGTTTGAAACTGGTCCCAAACTTGGAGTCCTCCTGCCTCAGCCTCCCAGTACCTGGGATTGCAAGCATTCACCACTGTTCCCAGCTCAAAAGTTGCATTTTTGGTTTCTCATAGCCCAGTAGCTAAAACATAATCCTATGGCTGTACCTAATTACAAGGAGTATTGAGAAGTGTGACCTTTAGTTGGGATACAGTTGGAAGGGTGGGTCTGCTTATCACTCCTTCTAGCCTCAGGAGCAGCTCATGATGGGAGCAGAAGATAAACTGATTGCCCAGGCTGGCAGGGCAGGGCTGAGGGAGGGAGCCTGCAGCCTCTGGCCTTCCTTGAAGAATTGTGGCAGGCTCTCGACTCAAAGGCTTCAAGAGTGAGAGGTAGCACTCCAGCCTGGCCCATGGAGGCACATTCAGGTCAGTGTTCCATGGCTTGCTGGAGCAATGCAGCTTGAACTAGATCCAAGAAGGGATGCTGGAAATTGAGTTGAATATAGAGGGAAAAAGATCAAGTGGAGCTGAATTACAGAGGCTCTAAATCCAGATGAGACTGTAACTCGGGCTTCAAGAGGGCACTCAGTGTACACCACATATTCATGATGTTTGGGTGAAGGAAGTGGTACGAGAGAAAGGAAGTCCAGAGGCCTACAGGAGGCAGGGACACTACAACAGACTACTTCTGGAAGCTTCAAGAGGTGAGTGCAAGTCATTAGAGGCATTCAGTCCTTCTGTTGGAACTACAAGAGGCAGTTGACTCAAAACTCAGTAGTTTCCAAAGAAGCATGATAAACAAAGAATCTGAGAGATCTCCAATTAGGGATGCTGGTTTGAAGAGAAGACCCTGGCCCTTGCAAGCTACCCTTTGAACCCTCTGTGTGACTAAGTCTAGCAGATATAGGAGTATGGTGGTGGGGTCAGCAAGCCATCATTGAACATGCAAGTGAAGCTCTGTCCCTATGTTGCCTTTCCACTCCCAGCAAGTGGCTCATCTCCTATTTGCAAGGCTGGCTTTGGGCAGAGCACATCAATGTGGCCTCACCAGGTTTCTGAGGTTTCTGCTAGAGTCTGTGCTGACTTGGTCAGTGGCTGGGCCAATATTTTAAATTTCACCTGATTACTAATCAATTATCTTCCAGCAGGAATTACCTCACCTCATCTCTTTGCTTCCTTTCCATAGAACTAACCCTTATCCCTTCATCCCTCCCCCTTAACTCTTTTCTTACTCAGAGTGCAAGAGACATGAACCCAACAGGAACTAGTGTAAGTTCAAAGAACAATGTCCTGGGCGTTCACAGCACAATGTGAGAAGGGCTGGGGTGACTGCTTCATCCGGTACCTCACATCCAATCAGCTGTGGCCCCAGGGAATTAGGGTGGGTAAGTTTATTTCCCTGCAGGGAAGAGTTACAGCCAGCGCCCACTGTGTACCCCAAATTCTGGGTCCTGCCACTCATTAGAGATCTCACTTATATTGAGTCGGCTCCCTTCTGGGCTTCATTTTCTTTCACCACCACCCCCAGATACTCAAGTCTCTTTCATTGAAAAAAAAGGGGGGAAAAGTCATTTCCCCCAGACCTAAGTTCTTCCCCTGCAATGCTGTCATAAGTCCCTATTTGCTTGTAAGAAAGTCTCTCCTCTGACTACTACTTCTTCCTCACTTCACCCCGACTCTCACTGGTTCTTGCCAGGGCAGCCTAGGTGCTAAACCCCAGGGATCCCTTTCCCCTTGTCCACCAGCTCCCCGCTGGTACTAGTGATTCTTTTTGGACCTCATTAACTGCTTCCAGTCTCCTTCCTTAGAGCTTAGAGGTCCTGGACTGTGTATGTGGACCCTCAGCTCTCCTCCACTTGCCTCCTTTCCCCAGAGTGGTCCAGAGGTACCTGTCGCTGGCCCCCATCCCCAGGCTTCCCCCAATCCTTCGGGTTCCACCCAGTCTCCACCCTGCCATGCTAGAACCCACAGATCACCAGCAGTTCCTTTGTTGGCCCTTCTTCATTTTGTCCCTTTGCTAGATCACCCCAGAATACCATTCTGAGTCCACAACTCTGTTGTTTTAGTCAGTTTTTTTTGCTACTGTGACTAAAGGGCCTGACCAGAACAATTTTAGGAGAGGAAAAGTTTAAGGGCTCATGGTTTCAGAGGTCTTAGTCCGCAGAAGGCCAGCTGCGTTCCTTGGGGATGGTAAGCAGATCCACCCTTCCAACTGAGGCAGAACATCATGGTGGAAGAGTGTGGCAGAGGGAAGCAGCTCGCATCATCAGGAAGCAGAGGGTGTCTCCACTTGCCAGATACAAATATATACACCAAAGACATGCCCTAATTCCCACCTACTCCAGCCACACCCTACCACTTCAGTTACTGATTTGGTTAAGACTCTTGACAACCCAATCATTTCTCCTCTGAACCTTCTTGCATTGTCTCACGTGAACTTTTGGGGGACACCTCACATCCAAACCATAACATTTACAAACAGCATATGTTTTTAATTTTGGGGTAGGGGTACTTAACCTATATCCCCAGCCTTTTTATTTTTAATTTTTGAGACAAGTTCTCACTAAGATGCTGAAGCCGGCCTTGAACTTGTGAACCTCCTGCCTCAGTCTCCCATGTCTACTTAGATTACAGGCATGCACCACTGCACCTGGCTAGCTAATGCATCTTTATTCTTGGCCCTGGGCCACTACCCAAGGTTTGTGCATGTCTCCCACAACACCTAAGCATTCTGCTCTCACCCTCTGCTTTCCCAACTGACCCTAGCTACAGTGAGTGATTTGATACCCTCAGAACCAGGCGTAGTTGGAACTCAGTAGTAAATAAGTGGCTTTCCTCTTCTGCCAAAAGGGATACAAGGATGAATTCCAGGGTTGGTGGTCTGGAAGGGACATGAAACAGTCCTGAAAAGCTAAGCATGTGGCCAGAAAGAAAGGGACCAGACCTTGCCTTAAAAAAGCTTAGTTTGGTTTGGAATTTTTGGTGTGTGTTGGGGGTGGGGTTACAGAAAAGGGGAGTTAATTCATAGGTATATCTCTTACCTAGCATGCAGCATTTATGAGGCCCTGGGTTTAATCCCACCCCCCCCCCAAACACACACAAATGTAAAAAGTCACCCCTTTCCTCTTTTATTTTTTTTAAATATTTTTTTAGTTGTAGTTGGACACAATATCTTTATTTTATTATGTGGTGCTGAGTATTGAACCCAGCGCCTTGCACGTGCTAGGCAAGCGCTCTACCGCTGAGCCACAACCCCAGCCTCTCTTTCCTCTTTTAAAATAAACACCAAGGGCACAGGGATATATCTCAGTCATAGAGCATTTGCCTAGCATGTGCAAGGGTCCTGGGTTGGATCCCCACAGCCACCCCCCGGCCAGGAGGGATGGCAAACTACCAGGAACTTTATGACTTGTTTTGTTTGGTTTCAATTTTGGAGACAGGGCCTTGCTGTTGCTGAGACTGGCCTGAGACTCATGATCCTCCTGCCTCAGCCTCAAAAGTTGCTGGGATTACAGGGTGTACATCAACACACCTACTACCACCAGGGACTGTTTTTTATTTCTTTTCCATACTTTTTATTGGTGCATTATAGTTGTACATAATGGTGGGATTTGTTGTTACACATTTATACATGCATACACCATTGGGGCCTTTGGAACATTCTGAAACTCAACCAGACAACAAGACTAGTTGATCGAATTCAAAGAGTTATTATTTTTACTAAAGCATAAAGCAAATATTTTCCTAAGAATAACCTAGCTAACAAAGTCTCTGTATTTCCCAATACAGTTTAACTGAACATACAGTCCCCAGATTTATTTCAGGTCTCTGCTGATAAGTCAATTTGGAAAGTCACATCTGGGCCCATCCTGAAGCCCAGGTGCCAGGGCTGCCCCTCATGTCTGTCGTGACCTTTCCCCATCCTTATCACAGGATATGACGCATCTTCTCTCTCCAAAGATTCTGGTCACCACGCTGCCAAGCCTGACCCTGGCACTGGCATTTGCTGTTGATTTCAGATGTGGAGATTGGCTATTAACTCTGTAAATAGAGCTCTGACCCCTTGAGACCAGTGGTTAGCAGTGGAAGGCTGAGCCACTGACACAGGATTGGAATCAAAGGCTGGTTTCCAGGATCGCAGGCTAGCTATGTCCAATTCACAAATGGTCTTGGGTTAAGCACAGGATGAAAAGGGGTTTGAACCTTGGGAGACAAAATTATCCCCAGTTGATAGCTTAAAGGAGACTTCAGGTCCCCAAACATGGGCATGTTTAAGTGGGCAACAAGCAGGGGTAGGTAATACCCCAGCAAAAAACCCACCTACAACTGGAGTGACCCAACCCTGGTGCCAGGTGTATGAATGTGAACACTTCCATTCAGACCATTTTATAGGTGAGTAACAAGCTCTCTGGGAGAGTGGTCACGCCTCCCCCAGATCTCCAGTTAGGTTGCTGAGCACCCCACTCTATTCACCTCTTTTCCACTGGGCAGAGCCCTGAGCTGGGTCAGGGAATCCCAATGCATTGCCCCTCTCTAGGCCACAGTTTTCTTTTGGGGTCAGGAAGGGCTATATACAGCTCCAGGGCAAGAGTTTGATACACCCTAGGAAGTGGAAAGGTGCGACCAGGACATGGACCAGCTACAGCAGAAATCCTGTGACTTCTGTAAACCAAGAAATCATAAAGAAGGTTAAAATAAAAGCAAAGCCAGTCTTATCCAAGTGCAAAATAGATTTGCAAATTGGGAAACAGGTTAGGTGTCTCTGAAAGGGACCATGCAGCTTTGGGAGAGAAATAGGATCGAGTGAAGTCCAGTGCAAATTGGGGTGGTGGTGAATTTTCTAAGTCCATTGAAATATCCAGGTCAGGAGATAAAACTGGTCATTGTGGTGTTTTTCAAACCTTACAAGGTATTTAATAATAGAAATTTGTGCCCTTTGTCAAGTTGGTTTCCCAACATGAAACCTTGTGGCAATTTACCACTGTCAGTAAAACTTCAAGACTTGGAAAAGGATCTTTGCTCTCCTTTTGACCACTCTGCAGCCATTTTGATTTTTATGTTTGACTTAAGCCCCCTGGGAAGATGAGGGAGCAGAGGGAGCATTGGTCTGGTGGCCTTAGAGCCAGCAGGAAGGGGGTTGAGTGGCAAGCACTTCTCCACCCCACCTCCTTTTCAAGACGTCACTGGAATCCATGGGCCAGGAGCAAGAGAAGCCACCTCCTGGTCAATAAATACCGGGGCTGTCTGACTAGGGTCTGCAGCTGCCTGAAGGAGCAACCTCCACAGCTCTCCCTTGGTGAGTGAGAATGCCGCCCTAGCTGGAGCTCTCTTTGGGTGCATGGCACAATGTCCCTCTTTCCTATTCCCAAGCCCTTCCACCCCTTTTCCTTTTCCCCCCAATTCTATTAATCTCTTCCTGAGCTTGTCACTCCTGGCATGAGAGGGACAGGGGTGGAAACATTTACTCCAGTCACCACACATCCATTCCATATCCCCAACTACCAAAGAAGAGAGATAACAGGCCACAGAGAAAAGGAGCAGAAACTCAGGTGCTCCAAATACCCTACTCTGCCACTTGACTTATGGAGAATTCCCCTGACCATCCAACCATCTTCCCATCTATTGGCCTGAAGTCTATTCCCCTCTTAATCTTCCACTTCTAGAACTTCCCAAAGGAAGGAGGGATGGGCCTGGCTAACTAAGAGGGCCCTCAGAACTGGGGAGGGAGCCTGTGCTCCAGAGCTCTGGGGGAGGACTGGCGCAGAGGGAAAGGCTTTGGAAAATAATAAGCTGCCCTGAGATGCAGTGTCAGACTTTTGAGTGCTCTCCACTGTCGTACAGAGCAGTGCTGCCATGGCTAGCTCTAGATTAGGCCTTCTGCTGCTGCTCCTACTGCTGCTGACTGTCCACCCTGGACCCTCGAGGGCTCAGCACTGGTCCTATGGCTGGTACCCCGGAGGAAAACGAGCCTCCAGCTCACTCCAGGACCTCCCAAGTGCTCTTAGGTCCTCAGGTTGGTGATAGGTCCTCCCAGCTTGAGTGGGAAGAAGACAATGCTGGTTCCTGGGGTTAGGGAGGTGGGGGCAGGTGCCTTTGTTCCCTTCTGAGGAAGGGTCTTGTGCCCTGCAGCTGGCAACCCAACCCATGCTGCCGATAGCCTACCAAATGATGCACTGGCTCCCCCTGAGGATACAATGTCTTGGAAGGGCAGGACCATGGCCCGCTTGTCCCTCCACAGGAACCAGCACCTGGTGTAGACCCTAATGGTGAGTGTGGTAAGAGGTCCCCTTCGGTCAAGACTATCCATGGGTCCCCTTTGGCCATCCTGCCTGGGGACTGGGGAGTGTGAAATACCACTGGGATGCCCCTTTCCCCAGTAGAACAACGGTATTAAAAAGGCCCATATAAAAGAGTGGTAGCTGTGGTGTTCCCTAGACTTCATGACAGCCAAGTTGGTGTGTTTCAAGGTGGGCAGGCCCTCTGGCCAGAGGGAAGAGGGAAGGAGTGCACCTCACACAGTGCTCAAAGAGCCAAATGATCACTGACTTGGACTCGGAACAACTCAGTGACTGTAGACCTCCCCAAGACCATAGAAGAATACAGGTGTAGGAAAATGAGTTATTACTAGTTGCAAATAGAACACATGTAAAGTGCACCAGGGGTGCACATTAACTAAAGGAGGAAGTGGTAAATTCCTAGGAGGCACAGCCTTATCGCCTAATTTAAGTGATGTTAGCTCGGGCTTTGACACATCAAGCTTGCTTGGGGTGAACAGGGTCACGGGCTGGAAATCCCCAAGCTGGGTTCTCAGGCTCCTGAAGGAGCCGGGTGCATCTGAGCAACGTGAAAGCAGGTCAAATGACCAGATGGCAGGAGGGAAGGGGACCGAGCAGCACGAGGTATGACCACCCCTCTCCCTTCACAGAACGCAGCCCGAGCGCCCCGTCCAGCCATCCTTCAATAAAAGTGTGAAGTTTGCGAAGCTGTTGCCTCGAGCTCTTTCCTTCATCCCCTCCCAATCCCACTCCCCCAGAAACTCCCTAATGGAGCAGGGGCGGCAGGATCCCGCCGCCTGGACGCCTGCCGGGAGGGCCGGGCCGAGCCCGGGGGCGGGGATGAGTGGTGGGATAGCCGCGCGCGAGCTCCGCCCCCCGGGGAGGGGCGGGGTCCCGGGGACTGCAGGTCCCGAGGTGCTCTGCGGCCGCTTCCGGGCCTGGCGGCGGCGGGCGGCTACAAAGCGACGCGGTCATGCTCCGCACGCTGAGCGGCCTGGGCTCGTTGCCCCCGTGCCGGGCTCCGGCCCTGCTACTGCTGCCCGCGCGCGGCCGCAAGACCCGCCACGATCCTCCCGCCAAGTCTAAGGTCGGGCGCGTGAAGACTCCGCCCGCGGTGGATCCTGCGGAATTCTTCGTGCTGGCGGAGCGTTACCGGCAGTATCGCCAGACTGTGCGCGCCCTCAGGTATGTGTGACGGAGGGGCAGGTGACCGTCGGCGCCCTCTGGGGAGTGTTGGGGCGAGCGGGCGGGTAGAGAGGGTGCCGACTTGGAGCGCGTCCCCGCTCAGGCTGGAGTTCGTGTCGGAGGTGCGGAAGAAGGTGCACGAGGCCCGAGCCGGGGTCCTGGCGGAGCGCAAGGCGCAGGAGGATGCCGCCGAGCACCGGGAGCTGATGGCCTGGAACCAGGCGGAGAACCAGAGGCTGCACGAGTTGCGGTGAGTGGGACCCGAGGCCGGGTGCCCTGGCCTAGCTGGGCCCCGCTCAGCCTCGGCCTCTTGCCCCTCGCAGGTTAGCGAGACTGCGGCTGGAGGCGCGGGAGCAGGAGCAGCGGCAGGCCGAGGAACGGGCCCGCCGCACCCGAGAAGAGCAGGCTTGGATGCAGCTCAAGGAGCAAGAGGTGCTACAGCTGCAGGTGGGCCACGGCTCCGGAGGCCCTGGGGCTCCTGGGCATGCAGACTCAGTTACCAGAGGGATCTGAGAGAAGGGGCCCAAGGGGAATGCCTGTGAAGCACCAAGAGTGAAGGAGATGGGAGTGGAATTGGGAAAGTGTACAAGCTTATGGCAGGTGGTAGCTCGGGCACACAAGGAAGGTGTGTTTGACCTTGCAGTTGATAAAGTCATAAAGATTTACTATGCTAAGCTGAGAATGGCATGTAAGACCAGTGAGGCATAATCCAGAGGCAGTGGATGAGACTTGAATTAAATAGGGCAGAAAGTACCGAATTTGTGAGAATAACCAGGTAGCATCAAGGAACTGAATCCACCCCTTGGGACACAGAGGTTATCACAGCTGGTGCTTGAAGTTCTGGCTGTGACCCAGGAGGATTGTCTAAGAAAGAGGAATATGACCAAGGCTGTCTGACATTATTCCACTGGAATGTCAGTGCGGCACTCAAATAGGCCCTGGGCTCCAGGTATGGTTTCCTAGGGAGAGCTTGGAGCCTCTCCCTAGGTGGGCTAAAGGCCAGCAGGCTTCCCAGGCTGTCAGCATGGGCAGGGCTCCCATGCAGCTGGCCTTTTCTCTCCCAATAGGAGGAGGCTAAAAATTTCATCACCCAAGAGAATCTGGAGGCCCGGATAGAAGAAGCTTTGGACTCTCCAAAGGACTACAACTGGGCCATCACCAAAGAGGGTCTGGTGGTCAGACCTCAGCACAGGGGCTCCTAGTGGGCCAATAAGGACAGTTCCTATCAGGGACAGAGTATGTATGGGGGTAGGAGGGCTGGGCCTGATCTAGAATGAAGCAGTTGTGTTTCCAAGGAGGAAGGCTTTTAGACTTTTCCAGGACCACCCTCACATCTGGCCTCTGCACCCACCACTTGGTCAGAAATTCTCAACCACAGTAACCTGTTCTTCCTCAAGTACAACCTCAGGACTGTACCAGACTGTTGAATGTTTTCCATTTCACAGAGGGTTGGACTGGGTGACAGTTCTCTTGGGCAGCCAGACCATCTCCTAACATCAAGGACAGTAGTTGGCAAGTTACAGTCCTTGAGCCAAGTGTGGCCTCCTGCCTGTAAATAAAGTGTTATTGGAACACAACCTTGTCTATTCTTTTACTACTATTGTGCTACTACTACAATGATAGAGATGAGGAGTTGGAATAGATACTGAATGACTTGCAAAACTAAAATATTATAACTTTTTACAGAAAAAGTTTATTGGTCCCTGATTTGGAGCTTTAGACACTACTGGCTAAGAGCAGGTAACACCTGGTACCTGAGCTACAAATTAACCATTAGCTATGGGTCTCCTTTTGCTTAATCCTGGGCTTTGCTGGCCAGGTGTGGCATGTCCATGACTGCATTTCTCCTAGTTGCTCTCCACCTGTGATTTGAGTGACCTACATCTGCCCTGGCATGCCCAGTATTCTTGGGCCACTCAGAATTAGTGCTGGAGGGGAGGCTTGGTTGACTAAGGCTTTTTGAGTTCATGTGGCTTGTCAAGCCCTTGGACCAAGCCTTATGGGTGCCAGGGATACAGGTGATCAAGATTCAGAAAATTGTAGGATTTTTTTTTTATATTTAATAACATTTATTGAATATCATATCATTTTAATATTTGTAAGAATTGTGTATTCCTAGCAAACAGGATGAAAATGAAGAAAGTTTTTTTGTTTTTGTTTTTTGGAATGAGATGGAAAATAATCATTTTAAGAGCCAAAAAAGTGCAAAGTCAAGTTAGCTGTATAGTCACCTGGGAAGGAATTTGTGGTTTTAATTCAATTTGAAAATGAAGTAATGATGGAACATAGTACCAGCTTTCCTCCCCACTCCCAACCCTCCATTATCCTTTGGGCAGGTGGTTCTAAAACTGTCTAGCTTGACATGTTGTTTTCCTTTTGGGGGGAAAAAAATCTTTAACTTCAAGAAAATTTAGAAATAACATGTATATAGTTAGAATTTTAAGTATTTGAAACCATGTCATGTTTGAGTTCATTGAATTTGAAACATTTAAAATAATTTTAATTAACTGAGAAGGAAATCTCCTTTTAAGGTGAATAGAGAATCTGCCAGATTTGTTCATAGAGTATTAAGATTTGTAAACAGAACTTGACTCTTATGGAATAACTAGGATTTTGAGTTTACAATTTGCAACCCAATAAGTTGAATATTATAAGATACTTTGTGTACAATCAGTGTCTTCAAAAATTGTGCTCTATAAGTGTAATATGAAATGAATTGCATTCTGCCATTAAGTATAACAAACCAGAATAAATTTTTTAAAAAGATTCAGAAAGTTGAATAAGGTGAGCAGGTAGATCCATAGCCCAGTTCAGGCCCTAAAGCTACATGTCACATAAAGACAAAGACACATTTCTCCCAGATAGAGTTGCTTCCCCTTTGCTGCTATTTGCATGAACTTTAGATACCTTAAGAGGAAAAAGAACCAAACCCAGCTTCTTTCCATGACCCTTAACTTCTAGAAGGCTTTGGGATCCCCAAGAATTCATGGAGACTAAGGAATATGGGCAGACCCTCATGTTTCTAGGTGAGGAAAACAGCTGTGAAGAGGCAAGCAGAGGTGGTGCCCTGTACCCAGCCCCCCCAGGGCACTCAAACCCTGAGAGCCATGGCCTCCTTCTCAGCTGGTAACATGGGGCACTGATTCTGGTTAGAGCACAGTGGAATCTCTGCTTTCAGGTGCCCAAGGTAGCTTCCAGGATGAGAGCTGATGGGCACACATTGTGGGCCATGATTTGACCAGTTGGTCCACAGCCTCAGACAACATCTGATTCCCTGCAATGGAAGCCTGTGGTAAACTTTGACATGGGACATAGCCTGTGTTAGGAAACCCATTTTTATGTATGTACTCCTCTCTCAGCCTGCTTGTCACCATCTTCCAGTTTCATTCTTTCCAAGTTCTCTGTGCCAAGATTGAGACACAAGCCATCTGTCTCTTCAGATTTTTTGTTAAGTTGTTTAATGGACCTTTATTTATTTATATGTGGTGCTGAGAATCAAACCCAATGTCTCACACATGCAAGGCAAGCATTCTACCACCAAGTTACAACTCCAGCCCCTGTCTTCAGATCTTGAAGCTCTTTGGGCTGATTTCACTTCACTACTGCTAACATCCTGCATGGGGGCTATATCGCCTTAGCATTCACCTTCTGCTGAGGTCAGTATGTCATACATGTCTACCTATCAACCAAGCTTCAGCATTTTTTTCTCCACCCACAGCCATCTTCCTCATATAGGCAGCCTGTGTTACCTTTAGGTTAACTCAAGTCCAGTCAATCTGTACTATTTCTAATGAATTAGTGCTATAAGGGGCTTAGATAGGCTATCAGTTCCCACCAGTCTGGTCTGCAGTTTTGTGGGATCCCCCTTTAGATGGTCTAACTTCCAGCAGAATCCTGGATGGCCATGGTCTTTCTCAGATACCAAGGTCTCTTCTGATTCTTGCCTCAAGTTCCAAATGGTTAGGTTTCCTATTTACAAAACATGCTCTGCTGTGTTGTGAGGAATAGGGTTGCCAGAATCATCCTTGCTGCAGCCTGGACCACCTAGAGAATCTTCCCTTGTTCAAGGTCTCACAGATGAATGGTAGATTTGAGGGCTACCCAGTGAATACATTTGGAGTAGGACATCCAAATGTGAGAGCTTTCGTAAGATTTGAGGAGGGTCAATTTGTGTATCTGGAGTAAACAGGGTGGATCAGGACACAAGTGCAATTTGTATTTCCACTCGGGGGAGGGAAGGTTTTCTGTTCCTCCAGAAACAGAAATCCTGCGTTTGGGAAGGAAAAAAGAATTCCAAGCGTGACTCTTCCTGCCAGAATTGTCCTATTTCAGCAGTTAACTGGGCTTATTACCTATGTGTCGGTTTCAGCTCTGTACTTAGAAGTTCAGGGGGAGTTTTCCCAAAACTCCCCCTGAACTTCTAAGTACAGGGCCCCCCACCCTGCCCCAGGATTTGTCTCCCCACTCATTCATAAGTGTTTTACTACACTTGGCTCTGGCTCCTTCTAATCCTCCAAGCTAAGCAGCATGATATCAATGAGGTAGACTTTCATGAAGTCCTAGGGATGGATGGGTGGTTAAGGTCTTGAAGATAAGATTGAAAATTTGCAGAGTTGGTCATTTCTTAGGCTGAATAGTGAGGGTGCCAGACTGCTGCCAAGCGAAGGGAAACAGCTTATATGGCGGGCAGACAGGAAAAGAGAAGGATGGGCTTGCCGAGTTAACAGGCACTGGGGCCTTGTTAATCTTTTCTATCAAGGACACCTCACTAGGTCTAACTGAAGTTACTTCTCCATATTTTTCCAATGTACTCAATTTTCTGCATGGAAAACAGTCACAGGTGCTCAATATTCTCTGAAATCTTTGGGAAAACTCCCCCTAAACTTCTAAGTACAGAGCTCTAAGTACAGAGCTGAAACCGACACGTAGGTAATAAGCCCAGTTGACTGCTGAAATAGGACAATTCTGGCAGGAAGAGTCAAGCTTGGAATTCTTTTCTCCTTCCCAAACGCAGGACTTCTGTCCAAAGAAATATTGCAGGGCTGGGGGGATCCCCCAAGAATCTGTGGCGTGGTAGAGTGCTTGCCTAACATTCAGGAGGTCCTGGATTGGATCTCCAACAGTGGCGGATGGGGGGAGACAATATTGCAATCCAAAAAACCTGAGACAGACCAGTCTAGGGATGATAGTGGGCACTTCCCTGGTTGGGTACTTTAACAAATATATTCTCAGTACAGGTAAGTACATAAACAATAAATATGAAGCTTAATGAATTATTATAAAGTGAAAATCCATGTCAAAGAATAAAACACTGCCTGGGTCAACTTCAGAGGCTATAACCCCTTGAAGTCAAGAACTTGTGAGGAAGAATCCCACTGTAGTGCCATCAAAGGGACTGGGAAAGTGACAGAAGCTCAGCGCTTCAGAGCAACATAAACCCTCACCAGTACTGCACAGTGGCCTGTGGCTCACCGATACCCAGTCATCTTCCCCATGTGTTTGGGCATTTCCCCTTATTGGGGATAAAATAATGCACACATGGTTAAAGCTTCTAGGAAAGTTATGTTGTATTTCACACTTTTTTTTCTTTCTTCCTTTTTTTTTTTTTAATTGCTGGCTACTAAGGAAGAGAAATGGTCTAGGAGTAGAATTTTGTGTTTGGGAAATTTGAAATTTGAGGCCTAAATGTCAATCATGGCTACGGCACAGCTGCCTTTACTGCCAGAGCCATAGCCTGTGGGGGCTACTGCTGCTACTCGTTGCTGCTGTTGTTGGACAATAGTCACTTGCAGAACTCAGGCCCTCATCTGTTGTAACTGCCAGAGGTGCCCCAGACATGGGAAAATGGATTTGCCTTCCTCTGCCCCTAAAAAAAAATAAAAATAAAAATAAATCTTTTAAGAGGAAATGTTGGTCTACCAGTACAATGTTACAGTTAGATGGCAGAAATAAATAAATGCTGGTACTTTTGCACAGTAAGGTAACAATAATGCTCTGTTTTAAAGAAGAAGGATTTGGCATGTTCTCACGACAAGGAAATGATAAATGCTTAAAATGATGGATATAATAGTTTCACATACACATTGTACCCCATGAACATGTAAAATCATTATGTGTCATTTATTAAAAAAAAATATTTTTCCAGTGTCTCCTAGATTATTGTTCCTCCTAAAGAGAAGCCAGCTAGTAAAGAAATCTGGGAAATGTGGTTTCAGGCTTGCAGTTTCCCTGGGAGCTGAGAACTACAGAAAAAGTACCAGCATCAGACCAATTTTTTAGAAGAATTGTTTCTCACAATTTGTAGAATTAACAGTGGGAAAAGTGGAATTATTTTATAGGGAATTTTTTTTATTCAGTGCTGGAAATCAAACCCAGAGCTTTGCTATAACCCCAGACATTTTTAAAACACAGTGAAATCAAATTTGAGACCAATATGCTTTGACAAGACTTTGCCAAAAAAAAGAGGAAGAAGAGAAGCAGAAGAAAGAGGAGAAAAGGAAGAAGGAACGAAGGAACGAAGGGAAGAAAGAAGGAAGGGGAGAAGGAGGGAAGACAAGAAAGGAAGAAATTCTCCAAG